GATTCCAATTTAAAATAATCTCTCTAACCATGTATGAAATATATATATTCTCATAATTTTTCTCACATTTAATCTTAACTCTATTCATATCTATCTTTTCTGTCCATTAAAAAAAACATTTGTTCATTGCATTTTTTTAACAGTTTGGGGGTGATTATTAAATAATATTTATTTATAATTTTTTTAAATTATTGATAATGCATATATATAATACAAATACAACTGCTTTAATTCGAAATTTTAAGAAAAAAATAACATTTTCTTAAACTAAATCCGGTGAATGAATTGACGGCGATTGCATTCTTCATTTGATTCGAAAAGGGAGATGTTGTATTCTTGTGGTTTAATAATGTAAAAGGAATTTTATCATTGTTGATATGTCAACCGAATACAATTATTAAAAGACATGCCCACCGAATATTCCAGCAATTATTCTAAAGAATGTGAACAAACGAGTTACGAAGATGCAATAGAGGCTAAAGGGAAGCTAGCAGAAAGTGGTATCTTTTAGTCTTTTAGATGGGTATACCCTACGGTTTATGCCCTACTATCTTTATTATTTACCAATAATCTATGTATCTTAAACGGGTATACCCTACGGTTGGTGCACTGCTATCTTTATTCTTTACTAATAATCAATGTATCTTAATGGCTTGAACGAAAAGTGAATGCTCTAATATAGTTTAAAAAGTACTGAAAACTAATAATAAGACCTACCGATGTTGATAAACAGAACCTATGAAAATCTTGTATAAAACCGATGAATTTGACTCTAACTCGATGAATTTTGATTGGATTTTATAAATTTAATTGTTTAATAAAATTTTTGAGTTTGATTTGTTTCGGGTAAAACATTTTACAGATGAAAAATATTTGATTCAAACTAAAAATAATATAATTTTTAATTTGCTTACCCTAATTTATGTCATATCATTTGATCAGAACTTAAAATCGTAAAGGGAGAAAAGCAAATATAATGTTGACAGCAGAGATATAATCAATTCAACATCGACTAAATATTGAACCACGAACTAAAACATCCACCAGTTCCTTCACCACACAGACAAATGAACAAACACATACAATGCACCATGCCAAAGAGTTGGAATCATCGCCATCACACCGCAGCACAACTGCTCGGAAACACACATGAAAAGACTGCAGTGGAGAATGCTCGACAGCAGAATTCCACATTCTCACCTATAATCATTCAGTACAAATGTTCACGCATCTACTGGGGGAGCAAACATCATCATTCGCCAATTGAACAAATCCACTGATATACACTTAGCCGCAATTAATGCACTTTTTTGTCAACAAAATTATAAGCATTTACATTATTGATCTAATCAATAACACTGAAAAAAAACATGAAATGAAGGAACGATCTAATCAATGTTTACATTATTGATCAATGCTCACTTCATCATAAGAGTACTCCAAAATGATTTTACTCTTAATATTTACGCTTCCACTCATCTTAGGCAATTGGGATGTTTGAATAAAATCATTTGATCAATCATATATATATTTAAAACGTTGAATGAACCAAAAATATCGAAGTCTATACAAAGAGATATAAAATAAAAATTTTAAATTAAAAAATTAACTCACATTTTTATCATGGCGTCGGCACAACTATTGTATTACTTAAAAACATGAATTGTTTGATGTTAGATATGAAATAGGAGCATCCACTTCTAAGATTAGTATATAGAACATCTATTATCATAAATTAAAATAATAACGACAGTGACAATCACTTCTGTGATTATTTTCTATGATTATCTTGAATTGTCTATTATTTTTTCTAAAGATTTTAAATTCAAGCTGTTATGTTTATAGGGAGTATATGTATAGTGCCAGATCCATTAAGGATTCACGTGCCATCATGAAATCCGAATTTTCTTCAAATAGTTCCCTATTTTAATGGTTATGCCCAACCCGGAATTTTATTTATGCCCTTATGCGATTAATATATATGTGTGCACACCTTAAAAAATACTTTTGCATCCGTAACTGTACGTGCGTTATCAAATATCAACACTAAGATTTTTTTAAATATATACTACATTATAATCACTCGAAACTATTAAAAATATTGTCATTGCTTCTAAGTAATTATTGGTTGTGCTCAAAAAAAATTCGTCACCAATTTCGTGTCAAGACGTACTCTCTCAATAATTGTGCAATCAGTTCCTCTTCCAGTGAGAACAAAGAGTATATTATTCATTTCCCTATGATTTAACAACTGTCTCATAGGGTTTATTTGAATGTAACAGAAACATAGGGGCCAGTATAAATAGAGTAGAAAATTTCAATGGCTTAATTAGTATTTTTGCCTTTTCCAATATGTAATTTGTAGTTCGCGCTTCCATAACTCAGTGAGACTGAGGCCCATTCATAGAGGCCCAAAGATCCATGAAATTCCACATTTTTTTTCTTCTGTTTTTCTTTTTACTGGCAGTAGTTCTTCAATCCGTGGCGGTCCACAAAAAATGACATTTTCAGTTAAAACAACGACAAGTGTAGTCTTTGCCTTCTTTTAGCTCTCAACATTTTCAATTCTGGATCCGAGACATCGACCTGAGATTTTAATTGATTTTGAGATTCGGAAAACGAAGAAGGAAATTAACAATGGCGGCCTTATCAAGTTAGAAGATTCACCTATGTTTCAAAGCCAGGTAACTCCAAAGTTCTTTACCTTTTCGTGACAGTACATTTGTTTAATTCCAGAATTACATTTGATATTTTTAATTCGATTAAATTCTTAGCCATTTAATCGAATGTAAATCCAGTTTCAGTGGAGTTTGTGTTTACGGAATAATCGAATTCGGTTGAGTCTGTGCTAATTAGCTGTTGATTATTATTTTTAGTTTCTGAAAAGAATTTGCCTGTTAACATAATGGCTTATTTTTATATTGCTGTGTATGAATATACTTCATGATCTCGTAGGGATCATTGTTTCCTTTTTGTTTAAGTTATGAAGAACTGATTCTATTATGTTTGTTGATTGATTGATCAGGTATCCTTTTTGGAAAACTCTGCTGAGGAATTGAAAGAACGCTGTCAAACACTATGCAATGGGAGTAAAAAGTTTATGTACGTATTTTTCTCTTTCGAAATTCACTAATATTACTGCTGCATTTGCCTTCTCAGTCTATTAGAAATATTTGGATTTAATTTTTGGCAATCAGAAGTTATGTTCTTTTTTCCCTCAATAGTAAGTTTTTGTTATAAAATAAGATTTTTTTTTTCATTTTTAGCAATAGTTTTGTACCTTTTGAATACCATTTCTCTCGTCCCTTACTCATGATACTGACCGAACATATCTGTGTGCTCTTTAGTTCAATGCGCAAAAGTATCAACTTTGTAGCAAGAGCTTGGAACTAGATTTCGGGTTCAATATCTGGTCTCTAAGACAAATGTATCTTTGTTGTACTTTTCCCTTAATATCTGACCCTGGATTTGTCCTATTTCCCTTACTATTACACAATTTCAGCTACAACAAAGAATAGGATATGATTAATTTTACCTCCCGAAACATAAGAAAAACAGAAAAAAAAAATGTCCCACTTCATTGGTTTAAGTTGTAAATAAAAACTTCAAAAAAAAAAAAAGTTGTAAATAAAGAAAAATTATCTAAGGTCTCCCTGTCTCCATACATGCATACACACATATATACGTTTATTAATTATGTGTCTATCTCTGTTTCTTTTTCAGGACAGCTCTTGGAGAAGCATACATTGGAGACAATAGCTTTGCTGATTCTTTAGGTAAAATGAGAATTTAATTGAAAAATAGTTATTGAGATGAGCATTATAATAATTATTCTTAAATATACAAAGGTTAATTATACTACTATTTTCAGATTATGTATTTTTCATTCTAAACATGAATTCGACCAGTTTGATCTTATTCTTCAAAAATAAAAATCACAACTCAAAATGATTTGAACTTGAACTTTTAAAAAAAATAACATTATAAAATCTGATTGAATTAGTATCTATCAAGTACAAGTTAAATATTCATCCATTATCAAAGGTTGTATACCATTTAGTTTTATATAGAATAAACTGCATTACATTAAATTACACACATAATTATTAAACTATATTGAAATGATATTTTTAATTGTTAATTTTTTAAATTATAAAATGATCATTATATTTTATAAAATTATTATAAAATAATCATTATATTTTATAAAATTATTATCTAATAATCATTATATTTTATAAAATAATAGATAAATTTTAAAAGTAATAAATTTTAATTATATTTTGTAACGTGCCTTTTATATCATGATTCATGACAATAAACACCGATTAATATTTTTCGCTGCATATTTACATGAGATTGGACCGCGCAGGTAGGGCGCGGTTGAATCGAGATATGCGCGGGCAGGAAAAATCCCCACGTGAACCGTATGCTTGGGTTTGGTTTAAAAGAGGAAAATTTGTGCATCTTGAACTCGGGTAGTTTGATGGTGAGAAATTAGTCTCGTTTTTTCTTTAAACGCAAAGCCAATCCTTCCCTGTGTATACTCTCCTTCTGCCCCGCTTAAAGAACCCCCTTCTGCATAGGGCATTTCTTTACAAAGTTTATGTTCTTTATCTATTAGAGACTAGGGTTAAACCTGAAAATTTTGAAGATATTATAAACCTCAAATTTAGCACTTGGAACTACTTCACAAACTATGATTATGCTTCAAATGGTAGGATTTGGTTCCTATTGAAAAATGGATTTGATTTATCTCTCTGTCAAGCTACTGCCCAGAGTATCACTGCTAAAGTACTTAGAAATGGTGTCCCTTTTTTATATTAGGTATATATGGAAGCAATGATGTTACTAAAAAGAAACATCTTTGGCAACACTTAAAAGACCTAGACTCTAGTATTGGTTCATTCCCTTGGATCTTAGGGGGTGATTTTAATATCTTTCTCCATTCTTTTGAAAGCTCTGACCATGACATCCTGGGTTCTTACACTTCTAATGAAATGAAAGATTTTCAAGACACTATCCATGACCTTCTTCTTCAGGATCACCCTTTCTTTGGACCAACTTTCACTTGGAGCAATAAACAAAAGGATTCCTATCTTGCTAGGAAATTAGATAGAGTTCTTGTTAACTCTTATTGGGTCAGCTCCTTTCATAATTCCTTTGCGGAATTTCTTGCTCCAGGGCCCTCTGACCATTGTATGGCTCTTGTTTGGCTTAATAAAGACTCCCAAACAAATCGACCCAAACCTTTCAAATTTTTTAACTTATGGACCAAGAACCCTAAATTCCTTAATCAGGTTCAAAACTCTTGGCATCATCCAATGCAAGGAAATCCAATGATGTCTCTATTCCTCAAACTAAAGAATCTTAAGACTTGCTTGAGGAATTTAAACAATGAATGCTATAACAACATTTCTGATAGGTTAAGTAAAAGAAAATTGAACTTGAACAAATTTAGCTCTATACCCTAAAAAAATTTCTTCTATTGAATCTGAGCTTATTATTTAGAGTGAGCTCTTTTCTCTTGAGTATGTAGAAAATTTGTTCTTAAAACAGAAGACCCAAATTCAATGGCTCAAGAAGGGTGACAAGTGCTCTAAATACTTTCACTCGGTCATTGCTTCAAAGAATAAGAGAGAAACTATTAGAGTCCTTGTGAATGAACAAGGCAGTAAATTGGACGATTTTGATGATATGTCATCTGAAGTAATCCAATTCTTCAAAAATCAGTTGGGGAATACTGATTCAAATGTTAAAGATAACGATCCCAATGTTCTAAAAAATCTGCTTAATCTCAATCTGTCTCTTGAGGCTTTAGCATATTTGGATAAAAATATCACTGATGAGGAGATTAAGGATGTTTTTTTCAGCCAAGGCAATGATAGAGCACATAGACCGGATGGTTACACACATTTCTTCTTTAAATCTACTTGGTCAGTGGTTAGTGAAGATGTGATTAAAGCTGTAAAATACTTCTTTCAGAACTCTTCCATTTTACCAGCTTTTAATTCTACTATAATTGCTCTGGTCCCTAATATCATTAATCCTGGCAAGGTCAAAGACTATAAACCCATCTCTTGTTGCTCTGTGGTCTATAAGGCGATTACTAAGATTCTTGTTCATAGGCTGAAAAATCTTCTTCATGACTTAATTACTCTTAATCAAACAACCTTTGTTAAGGGAATACATATTATTGACAATATTCTCCTAGCCCAGGACCTTGTCAAAGGCTATGGAAGAAAATCTATTTCTCCAAGGTGTGCTATCAAGATTAACCTTCAAAAGGCTTTTGATTCTCTTGACTAGGGATTCATTTCTACCATTCTTAAAACAATTGAATTGCCTCCTCAATTCATTACTTGGATTGAAGCATGTTATTCTGGAGCAAGATATTCAATCTCTTTTAATGGTGCTTTAATTGGCTATTTCAAAGGTGAAAGAGGCCTTAGGCAGAGTGATCCTTTATCACCCATTCTTTTTGTTCTAGCTATGAACATAATTTCTAAGCTCCTTAATCTTGCTGCCGCCAAAGGTTTATTCGGTTATCATCCTAAATGCAAAAAAAAAAAAAAACAGACTCACACATCTTACTTTTGCTGATGACCTTCTAATCTTTTGTAAGGGAAATATGGAGTCAATTGCTGGAGTTATTTCTGTTCTTCATAAATTTTATGAAATCTCTGGGCTTCAACTTAATGTGGCTAAATATGAAATTTTTCCAGCAAGAATTTCTCCAAGGAACCTTGAAATCATCAAAATCCATCAATGGTCTGGGAGGCATTTAAGCTATGATGGAAGGTTAGAACTCATAAAAACTATCTTACAAAACATTGCAAACTTCTGGTGTCGTCAATTCCTGCTTCCTCAAGATACTTATGGAGAGGCTCTGACACTTTAGCCTATGGAGCAAAGGTAAGTTGGGGTAATTTATGCAAACCTAAATCTGAAGAAGTGCTAGGATTAAAAGACTTAAAATCTTGGAATAAGGTTTGCATGATACTGCTTATTCGAAGCCTTCTTGCTGGTTAAGGTTTCTTATGGATTGCTTGGACTCATTCTTATGTAATCAAATCTAATGATTTTAGCCAAATGTCTACAAGTGCTTCCTCAAGCTACATCTTCAAAAAACTTTTGAAACTGAAAAATGAGACCATCCCCATTCTTAATGCTGGAATTATGAATGCTAAAGGGATTTGGGAAGAAGTAAGAATCAAGCATGATAAAGTCCCATGGCAAAAGCTTATTTGGTTTCCCCTTCCCATCCCTAAATTCAGTGTTATTACTTGGTTAGCAATCCTTGATCGACTCCCAACTAGGGAAAGACTCTTACGAATGGGACTCACCAGTGCTGGTCAATGTATTCTTTGCAATGATGCCCTTGAAACGAGAAACCATTTATTTGTTGACTGCACTATGGTTACTTCTCTTTGGAATGGTATTTTGAATCTGTCTCTTCTGTCCATTCCTCAAATGTCATGGGAAAACAAGCTTGATTGGGCTTCTTCAACTTGGAAAGGTAAATATCTCTTAACCTCCATTATAAAGATTGCATGGTGTGCTTTCATCTACAAAGTATGGGAGGAGAGAAACAGACACAAATTTCAAGGAAAAACTTGAACTGTTGAAGATTTATTTGGTTCTATAAAAGAAATAGTTGGTGCTCAACATAAGAATAGAGATTTTAATAGGCTTGACAATGTTAATATACTTCGTTGTAACAATTGGAATATAGGCTAACTATTTTTGTTGTATATAGTGGAGTTTGACCCTTTTTGGGATTTTGTATTACTCTTATTTGATAAATAAAATCTTATTTATCCAAACAAAAACAAAAACAAGAAGGCGAAACGCTTTGGGTTTTTTCTTTTGTTCATTTCATCAATCAGGTGTGCTGCATATCTTTGTCTTCCGCTTTCTTCCCATAATTCTTGGCTTTATGTTTTTTTTTTTCTAATTGGTTTTTGAGATACGTCATTTTGGTTACCTCTTTTGTCCGCAATTCGATTTGTGTTGTTCGTTTCATTTTCTTGTTTATTTGTCTTCGATTTGGAACAATGGATAGTGTTTTGAATCTTTTCTGTTTTCGTAAAAATTTTCAGTTAGGTATACAAAGTTTGGTTGACGTCCAAAACCGATAACATGAGCTTTCGAGGCCGACATAGATCAAGAAATCCTTTCCAAAGCACTCGTCAAGAATGGGTTCCTAGAGGCTCTTCTTCATCTACAACAACCATCTCCGCTAGCAATTCAACAGCTGCCCCCAATGTGAACCACGCCTCAACTCGAAATGATAATTATAGGAATAGACAAATTGGTCGGCCCACCAACCATAGGAGAGAGAGAGAGAAAAGGGAAGGAGTGAGAATCCTGTGGCTGTGAGGAAGGAAATTGATCCGAATTTGCCACAGCTTGTGCAGGAAATTCAGGACAAGCTTGTAAATATCACGGTCGAGTGTATGGTTTGTTATGATATGGTACGGAGATCTGCCTCTATTTGGTCGTGCTCGAATTGTTACTCCATTTTTCACCTCAATTGTATTAGGAAGTGGGCTAGGGCGCCCACTTCTGTTGATTTAGTGGCTGAGAAGAATCAAGGTTTCAATTGGCGTTGTCCGGGCTGTCAATCTGTGCAGTTAACATTCTCTAGGGGAGATATTGTATGTTTGCTTTTGCGGGAAGCAGATAGACCCACCTTCAGATTTTTATTTGACACCACATTCATGTGGGGAGCCGTGTGGAAAGCCGCTTGAGAAGGAACTAGGACTAGGTTCTGGGGTGATGAAGGATGAGCTTTGTCCTCATGTATGTGTTTTGCAGTGTCACCCTGGTCCATGCCCTCCTTGTAAGGCGTTTGCTTCTCCACGGTTGTGTCCTTGTGGGAAGAAAGTTATTACAACCAGATGCTCTGATAGAAAGTCAGTTCTTACCTGTGGTCAGTGCTGTGATAAACTTCTTGAGTGTGGGCGTCATAGGTGTGAGCAGATATGCCATGTGGGAGCTTGTGATCCTTGTCAGGTTGTAATTGATGCCCCTTGTTTCTGCAAGACAAAGTTTGAGAATGTAATATATGGAGACATGGTTGTGAAGGGGAAAGTGAAAGCAGAAGATGGTATCTTTTCTTGTGGGTCAACTTGTCGAAAGAAACTTAGATGTGGTAATCATAACTGTCCTGAGATTTGCCATCCTGGTCCTTGTGGGGATTGTCAGTTAATGCCAAGCAAGATTAAGTCTTGTTACTGTGGGAAAACAAGTTTGCAGGAGCAAAGGCAAAGTTGTTTGGACCCAATTCCAACTTGTTCAGAGATATGTGCCAAGTTCCTTCCTTGTAAAGTGCACCGATGCGACCAAGTGTGTCATGCTGAGGATTGTCCACCTTGCTCAGTTCTTGTCACCCAAAAATGTTGATGTGGATCAACTTCTCGGAGGGTGGAGTGCTACAAAACAACACTTTAGAATGAGAGATTTACATGTGACAAGCCTTGTGGGCGGAAGAAGAATTGTGGCAGACATCGATGTAGTGAACGAAGCTGTCCTCTCTCAAGTTCAAATAATCTTTGGTCTAGCGATTGGGATCCACATTTTTGCCAAATGTCTTGTGGGAAAAAGCTGAGGTGTGGACAACATTTTTGTGAATCTCTTTGTCATAGTGGTCACTGTCCTCCATGCTTGGAAACAATCTTCACTGATTTGGCATGTGCTTGTGGAAGAACTTCAATCCCTCCTCCATTGCCTTGTGGCATGCCACCTCCTTCTTGTCAACTTCCATGCTCAGTTCCACAGGCTTGTGGTCATTTATCTTCTCACATCTGCCACTTTGGAGATTGTCCACCATGTTCTGTGCCATTGGCGAAGGAGTGCATTGGAGGACATGTTGTTCTTAGAAACGTTCCGTGTGGATCAAAAGATATTAGATGCAACAAACTTTGCGGCAAGACCAGGCAGTGTGGTTTGCATGCATGTGGTAGAACATGTCACCCAGCACCATGTGATATCTCTTCTGAAGCTCAATCGGGCTTCAGGACTTCTTGTGGGCAGGCATGTGGTGCCCCAAGGAGAGACTGTAGGCACACATGTACTGACTGTAGGCACACATGTACTGCACCTTGTCCTGATGTTAGGTGTGATTTTCAAATCACAATCACATGTTCTTGTGGTTGGATAACTGCAACTGTTCCTTGTGATGCTGGGGGCTCTACTAGTAGTTTCAGTGCTGATACAGTTTTTGAAGCTTCTATCATCCAAAAATTTCCAGTGCCCCTTCAACCAGTGGAATCAACTGACAAGAGGATTCCTCTTGGACAAAGGAAGCTTATGTGTGATGATGAATGTGCTAAGTTGTAGCGCAAACGGGTTCTTGCAGATGAATTTGACATTACTCCCCCCAACTTGGATGCTCTTCATTTTGGTGAGAACTCAGTTACATTTGAGATGCTTTCTGGCCTATATAGGCGAGATCCGAAGTGGGTTATAGGTATAGAGGAGAGATGCAAGTTTTTGGTACTTGGCAAGAGCAGAGGAACAACAACCAGTCTCAAAGTTCACGTGTTCTGCCCAATGCTGAAGGATAAAAGAGATGCCTTCAGGATAATTGCAGGAAGATGGAAGCTTGCTATTGGTGCCGCTGGTTGGGAGCCCAAGCGTTTTATTGTTGTTCATGTTTCACCCAAATCCATACCACCTCCTTGGATCATTGGTGTTAAGGGGTCGACCGGTGCCAGGGCACTACATCCACCTGTATTTGATTCTCTGGTAGACATGGATCCAAGACTAGTTGTTTCCTTCCTAGATTTTCCCCGTGAAGCTGATGTAAGTGCATTGGTTTTGAGATTTGGTGGGGAGTGTGAACTTGTTTGGTTGAGCGACAAGAATGCATTGGCTGTGTTCAGTGATCCGGCTCGTTCTGCAACAGCAATGAGGAGATTGGATCATGGCTCAGTTTATAATGGGGCAGTTGCCTTTGTTCAGAGTGGTGCAGTATCAGGAGCATCGTCTGCTAATAATGCATGGGGAGGAGCAGGAACAATCTCATCTTCAAAGGAAAATCCATGGAAGAAGGCTGTAGTTCAGGAGCTCAGGTGGAAGGACGATTCATGGGGTGGTGAAGAGTCTGTTGGTATCCCTTATGATCTGGGGTCTGTATGGAAAGGCAAGGCACCTCCGATTGCTGCTTCAGTTAATTGGTGGAGTGTTCTTGATTCTGAAACAGCCGTAAACTCCTCCTCGAGAGCAGTTCAAACGGAAGATTCTCCGAAGCCAGCCGGAGTTCTAACCAATTCAGAAATGGATTCTAGAGCTGCCAATTCGAA